GAGCATCTTGTTCTTCTTACAGACCAATAATTTACTTCATAAACTTCTTCTTTATACTTAGTGAAAGCAGGCTGTCCTGACGTTACCATTCATATAACTTTGAGATCAATTAAATTGGTATTGGAGATATAATTCTCAGTATGCAGAATCACGGCATTTAAATTCCGTTTCGAGAAATCTATAAATAAACGCCATTCATGAGACATTGTTGCAATACACAATATTCCTAGGTACTTTATGAAAAAAAAGGATGAAAATTTTAAAATACCTGTTCTAGAATACGTTATTGTTACGTCGGTTCATTAAGCCAGTCGCTTAGTCGAGAAGATAAGAGTTCGGATTGATCTGGTTTGGTTTCGAATCTCTTACGAGGCCACCAAACTCGCCTTGTGAGTTCGGTGACAAGAACTCGGTTACTTGACAAACTTAAGGATTGATCTGGAGTCAACTTTTTTTGAGGTTTAGGAACCGGCAAAGAACCGTCGTGCAGAAATAACGAACAACAGACTTTAAATTGGGATAGACAATGTATGTTTGTTTTCCGATGTGAAATCTTCTATGTTGGTAAGGGAAAAGCAGTAGTGTGGCCTATCGATTGGCAGGTTCTTTTAAGAAAATATGGTAATATTATTGTCTCAAGACAGGTAGATAACCAAACAAAACCTATATTATGGTTGTGTTTCTTTAATAAAAAAATACACAAATCACCTAACACCACTTTAGATACGATGTCACTGTTGGACAGTGTTTATTGTTTATGTTATATTATGTTTTCCAATTTTATTAACGCGTGTGCAAATAGGTAGGACAACAGCCTGGACAGACCTCTATAAAAATATTACAAAAATTTTTTCTTGTCATAGTTCATATTTTGTTAAATATCCTTTTGGAAATAACAACTATGTAAATTTTTATTTGAGCTTTTAGTTACACGATCATGGCTGTTTCAATGTAAAAGAATATTTAAAGAACTAAATTTTTACGTTTCAGAAAATACAATCGATTAGGAGGAATAAAAACCTGTAGAAACAATTAAAAATCTTAAAATTGATCGACCTACGCATTGAAAGACTACAAGTCTACTCAAATAACCCATAAACCCCGTTTTTATTCACGCCTTTAAATGGCTTCTATATATTACGAAATCAATGTTGAATATTTTACGTCTGAGAGTAAAAGTATAAGGTATTCTTACAAAACAAAACAGGTATCTTTATGAATGTTACAGTTTTGGAATGTGCGTTAAATTCTGAAATGGGCAGATTGACCCCATTTGGTTTTCATTCTATAAACATGTATACGCATATTGCAAAACCAATAAACCAGTCTTGTTACGGAAAAAATAATTAGAAATTCTTTGCCAATCAATCTCGTCATATTTTAAGGTCCATTTATTATTTTTTTGCTCTAGAAAGAGCTGTGTCACGTTAGTAAACAATTAAATTATTTTTATCGTAACTATATCGTGGTATTAAATCACATTTATTGCATATAACCACAAAAAAAAATACATACGTGGAATAAACAGTGGTCCCATTTTTGTCTCGAAATATTTCTGTAGTTAAAAATATTTTATAGTAGGTATTTAGTAGTTATTGGGTTGGTATTGCAAAACGGTCAAAGTCCAACTAAGACATGACTGGCGCCAAAGTCGTTAGTATGGGATCTCGATTTTCTACGTTTTCTTTTGAAAAGTAGATCGTGTTGGTACACCATTTAAAAAAAATACTGAGAGTTGTATTAACGGGAAAAATATACATACAAGTATGTTATAATAGTAGGTCGAAGAGACGACTATTTAATAACCATTGGTTAAAAAGTTTTCTTGAAAATGTTTTTTCTCTTTTTCGTCTTTTTATGTAGACATGACTCTGTCTGTTTTTCAATGTGCCTCCCGTAAGTTGTCGTTTCATTGTTTTCTTAGTTTTCCTATTAGAGAACTGTCTCTTGCCGTTTTCACTACTCTATTTTTTTATCATTCGGCTTATACTCTATGGTTCTACGCTTATCTTCTATTTCTTACCCAGTCTTTGATGTTCTCCACCTTGCATCTACGTCGTATATCTTTCATCTACCTTTCAGTTCTTTTCCAACTGGCTAATTGGCTTAGTTCCAGTGCCATAAAACGAAATACACACACAGTTCTTTTCCGGTATTTTTATTTCTCTTTATTGTTTCATTGAGGCAACCATTGAAGCTCTGTTTGCTCTATTCACTTGATCTTCGATTTCTGTTTCGAGCTTTCCGGACCTAGATAATATGATGGCTGGATATTTAAACTCCACATCCATCACTTGTTCTATTATCTGACCTTTCAGCTCCAATTTACATCTTATTAAATTTGCTGATCATGTTTCTAAAAAAATATAAAGAATACTATATGTACTCAACTCAATAGGTCTTGTTCTTGTAGATCTTTAAAAGTAGATGGTGTTGGTATACCTTTTAAATTAATTACTGAGAATTGCATTTACGGGCAGAATATAGGTACACAAGCTACTTGGTCCAAAGACGAATTTTCAATTTTTTTTTGTAATACCGAATCCTCCAAAATGACATAACAACATAAACTTTTATTTAATATTATAAAGAGTATTAAACTTATAAAACTCACTACAACTGATTTCTGGTATAACCAATCTTCTATTTATAGGCCAATATTTATGAAAGTTCGAGCTGGTAAGTGTAAGGGCACCTTTTTTGAAGCTTAAAAATTAAAAAATCGTCCTGAAAGACGGACAAAAGGTCACAGAAAACTACTGCAATAAAGGCTCACAAGCTCATCCGTAGTATAGTCATTACGAATCTTCTTCCTTTCTCTGTTGACTCTCGAAAAAATATAGTAACATCATGTCTCAACTGCTTGGATTATGATTTTCCATAATCTCTATCTTGGACTGTGGGGAACCTTCTAATAGACCACGGCCAATAATTTTTCTGGTTTGATCTACCCAGCGTGTGGGTAATCTTACTCGCCGTCATTTTACATTGATTTTACCCTCGATATTTATGTAAAACGTGTTAAAATCGATGGTTTAATATTTAAAAATATTAAGTAATTAAAATAGAAGGGATAAATGTAAATAAGGCAAAAATATCTGGCGCAACTCATTAAGAATGTGTCTGTAAAAAGAAATCGCTTACCATTTGTTAAAATGTGCTAATTGGTAAGTAGAAAATCGCCGTCAGCTTTTCGGCTGGAATGGAAGGATGGAAGGATGGATCCGTTCACGTTAAACCGGAGATGTGCATATCCCGATGTCTCGTTTCGATCCCTCATGGCTGCTTCGATTTGTCAGTGTGTGTAGGATTAAAAATCCGTACCTAAAAATCCTTAGGGGTAGTCGTACTCTATGAAAGCTAAAGGAAACGTTCCCTAATTAATCAGGATTTTTACAGCGGACGCCTTCAGCAATGATCCAAATTGCGTATACAATGCCGCAGAAATTTGATATCTTAAAGCGTTTTCTAAACGTTAGAGGGAATTAACAACATGTGTATTCCTTTGAACTTGAAAACAGATGACCATAGAAAATGCCGGTTTGAAAATGAGAGTATACTGGAAGAATATACTGGAACCTTTTAAAGTAAACAGGTAATTAAAATATATAATTAAACAAGATCATATTATAACACAGTATTAAAAATATTAAAAATTCTTCTGTTCTAAAATATTTCTGTTCTTCGCGCTATACGTCTAAAGTATTTGAGGTAGGACTGATTTATTTTTGTTAAACGTCTTGTGTTAACTGCTTTATACTTGAAATGTTACTGCGATATGCTGTGTACAATATTCGTAACATTTTTCTGTAACCCCATTATTCATGGGCATCTCTCAGATATGGCAATAGAAAAGATTTATGTGTTTAGTAGTTTTAGTTTACTTTGTTAATATATTAGAATATAGTTGCGTTATGTACTATTGACAACCTGTAATAGATTTTTTCGCCACAGTTTTCTTTGAAATTCGGGATCCGATGTCCGATGTAGTTAAACCTACCGACCACTTGAAATCAGCAATTTTTTTGTGACGGACGAATTAAGGTCTATTATTATGATTTGGACCATATTTATTTGACTTTTGGATTGTAAGGTTATTTGTGCGTGAGCTTTCTTGTATCTTACGAGCGAGGCATATATTTGCTAGTATGCTAAGTGTACAAACAGTTATATATGTCAATATTTACGTAAAATGTTGTATTTTCTTATAATTTTGTATTTTCTTAATTATTTTAATAGTTATTTATGTACCAAGGGTATTAAATGGATGTTTATGCGCAGATGGCGACGATGTTACATACCCGAGGGCCTCTGGCCCGAGGGTTTGTAAGTCGCCCGATGGCATATACATCTATTAATACCCGCGGTGCATACCAACTTTTATGTCATACTAATTCGTTATTGCATCTACAAATAAATATTTTTTAAAAAATCCGAAAATTCGATTTCATTTTGACAATATATTTACTAGTAGATATTCTATCGTCCGTGTTATGTTGCTACACTACGGAAATACTGTCAAACGTGTCAAAATAAAACCGTGAAAATGCAAGATATTTTTGAGATCCCTAATAAAAAAACGGAAAAAGCAAAGCAAAAGTTACTACCACATAAGTCGAGAGATGTCTACGACAAGGAATATGAAAAATTACAGCACTGGATAACAGAAAACCATGTAGAACACATTAGTGAAACTGTGCTACTTGTATACTTTTCCGATCTCGCCGAAAAATTTTCTTGAGTTCCCTGTGATCCAAATATTCAATAGTAGAGAAGACTTTAATCGTAAATAAGAATATTAGCATTGCCAATTTGAAATGTTGCTAAATAAAGATGTTTCTAATAAGTTATCTTTTTGTTTGTATATTTACACCTGTGCGGACCATAAAATACCCTTTATGCCCGCGCGGACATAAAATACACTATTACGTAGTTAGTATCTTAGCAATAAAAACAATAATATACTGGTATGACATAAAATAATTTAATTTTTGTTTTAGAATTAGTTAATTATCAAAAAATGGCCATGGCTAGTGAGCAACGATTAAGCCATCCACCAGGAGCGGATATCACGATAGACGAAGAAAAAGACAGCGAAATTTGTAAATTTTATAAAGACACAACTGTTTTAATAACAGGCGCAACTGGTTACCTTGGAAAATTAGTAATGGAAAAATTATTAAGGAGCTGTGATGTTAAAAAGATATTTATTATAATTAGAGAAAAGAAAGGCAAAGATCCCCAAAAAAGGTTTGACGAAATATTTGATGAACCAGTAAGTATAATTTTATATTCTTAATCAAAATAAATAAAACAATAACTATTGTAATGGAATATTGTTTTCACTGAGCTTTTATTTGTCTTCCTAAAAGGACAAACGATACAGAATAAAACGATCCTCTCCTAATTAGTGTGATGTCTCATACAGCAAATGTATTTCTCAAGATCAATTATTATAAATGTATATACGTTTGTAATTATCTTTAGGTATGGATCACAATGGTATATTGCAAATCGTCATTTGAACTTGTAGAAATGTGGTCAATTCTCAAAACCTTAAAAAACAACAGAATTGGTGACAGATATACGAAACTCATTTAGTATATATACGATAACGCAAAATAGGTAGCAATTACAGAATAAAAAACAGAAAAAAATAAAACTACAGATAGGAGTTAAAAAAGAGATGCCATTTTACCTAAGCTTTTGCTTGGGCCATTTCAAAAATGTTTAAAGGTTAATATAAGAGAAAGTTTAACTTAATATAGATTAGACTAGAGAGGCCGTAGAATAATTACAAGAAATACTTTTAGACCTAAACATGGAGTCAAAAGTAATCGGAGTAAAAATTAATCTAACAAAAGTGAAATATCTCACAAATAAATTGTTAGATAGTTCTAAATGTTGTTTCGAACAAAATATATTCCTTGACCTTGTCAACAGTCGTACAGCATTTGGACAACAATAAATAGTGTTTGAAAGCAAAAATACCAAATACTTTAAAGGCAAAAACTTTGAATCAGTACCCAATGGCGCACCACACTTCGTTATGTGTTATTTGTTATGCGACTTCGTTGTATTCGTCCAAATATTCGCCGACGAATAACAAGTACGCTACTCCATACTTGTGCTGGTGGATCAAACATGCCAAATATTTGTTTACGCGTCTTTGGCTAAACCAAAAGGAATGTGGACGTATTGACGATGATGACTACTTTACTAAAATCCAGAAATTTCAGTCCCTTTTCACCCTTCATTTGTACACTTCATTTCATAGTAGGTAAACCACAATTCAAATCGTAATAGGTACGATAGTTTTATATAAACCCAAATTTTTTTCAAATTAATACTTAGACAAAATAAGCAGTGAGACAACTACCGGTGCGAGCGAAGTGTGGATAATCGACACATATATTCGGCTTGCATTCGGCTTATTCTTGTCATTTAAAGTGTGTCAAAAAACCGAGAAGTGAACGGATAGACTTATTTGATATTCGGGTATTTACTTATGGGTGCGAATAAAGCAACTAATTGACGAATGTACTCTCCACTCTTTGTCATATGTGGCCGAATATGGCGCATAACGAATAATACGTAGCATAATACATAAACTCTTAACTCAGCGTATCGTGAAACGTAGAGTGTTCATACATACCAAATACTGAAAACAATTATGTTAAAAGGAAACTGGCTGGACATAGAAGGAATGAAAGATAACCGATGGCAGACACTTATTTAATGGTTACTAAGAGCACGCACACTTATGCTTTGTTGACTATAAAAAACTTTCGATAGAATAAGACATGAAAAACTAATATCAATACTTATGAATAAGCACATTTGAAGTAAAATCATTAAGATAAAACAAACATATTGAAACCAAAGTGTTATTGTTTAAATTGATGGGCAACAGTCAGAAGAAATGCTTATCTGTAGACATAGATGCTTTTTACCGTCACGTTTGTTTAACTTATATACTCTAAAGAAATTTCAGCTTAATAATATCAAATCAGGAATTTCCGTTAACGGAAAGTTAATCATTAACAACTTGGGATATGAAGTATAGAAGCTCTACAAAATCTAATCGAAAGCTGAAGTATGAATAATGCTGAGATGGGAATTACTATAAAATCCAAAAAAAAAAAACACGAAATATATGATAATTATAAAAAGACCAGAAAATATACACCAAATATAGACAATTCATGGTAACGTGATACAAGTAGAAAATATCAGTACTTGGAAACTTTGATATCAAAGAAATCATACTGCAGAAATAAACAGGCAAATAGAGTTTGCCAGATCAGTATTTATACGAATGAAGCCACTTCTAACGTGCAAAAATCATAATTTGGAGATCAGACTATGACATTTGATGTTATATATTTTCAGTAATATTATATGGAGCTGTGATATGGACATTAAAAAAATTCAATTTAAACAGAATCGACGAGGCTTTCGAACTTTGATTCTACCGCAAACTATTAGAAATATCATGGACTGATAGAATTACAAATTAAGAATTACTGGAGAGAGTTGGTAAAGAAACAGAAGTAGTCACCGCTATACAAACCAAAAACTGAAATACCTAAGCCACGTGATGAGGGACCAAAATATGATATTTTGAGACTCATAACATAGGGAAGGATTTAAGTAAGATGTTTAAAAATAAATAGCCATTATGATTGCCAACTTTCGTAGGGAGACGGCACACTAATAAAAAGAAAAGAGCACACAAAAACCAGATGCAGATTTAATACCCGACGGTTCAACGACATCAAACGAATTTCTGGTCACAACTGGATAAAAAACAATGGAAACAAAGAACAAAGGAACAGAGAGGAATGGACACACCTTAAGAAGGTTTACATCCGAAAATTATAAAAGCCAGAGGTGCTGGAACATGTGGTGCCGTTTTATATATTATAACAAGGATTTATCTTTTTAAAATGACAAACGCTAGAGAACCTATCGATCAGCGCTTTATATTTACTGTTTTATTCTAGAGATACTTGAATATCAACCAAGACATGCACGTCTCTTTCATAGATTGTGACTTTCAGCATCCCTTACGCATACTAAAAAAACTTTACTCTAAAGGGAGAAACTCTAGAGGAACATAAAAATTAAAGGTGTCTGGAACACTGATTAACAATATTATGTAAGCAAACGATATTGTTATATTGACGGACAATCCCGAAGGTACTTACCTTAAGAGGCTGATGTACAAGATAGTTGAGCAGGGCGGCAGGGTGGTCCTTAACTAATTGTACAGAAAGAAAAAGTAGATTCTACACTTTTAAATACTACAATTTTAGCTAACTTGCTTTAATAAAATCTTGATATTAAGATAGATACACACTGTTGAAGTTGAAATTTAAAAATAGTTTTTGCTATATTTATATAACTATGTCTTATGTGGTATCAGATTGTATCCAGTTTAACTATTTCTTAATTTGGTTTCTAAATAAAGTGTATTTTTGTATTACCTTAATTTAAAACGATTTAACATAAAACGTGAAATGTTTGATTTCAAATCCTATAACACTTTATTAAATTATCCTACTGATGTATTTAAAAATATATTAGTGTACCTATATTATTTTTCCCTTAATACTTCGGAAACTAATAACTTGAGTTAAAGGTATTTCATACCAAAATTCAGAAATATTGATATATTTTTGTCTATTTATCCTTCGTTGCCTGGATTAATTGCGGTAAATCAGAGTTATGCAGTTTTTATTGTAAAATGCGATTTTCTCGAAAACTGGTGAGTTTTAGAGACATTAACAAGTATATCTGTTTTTTTTTTGTTGAAATAATGTATCTTTAATATTTTTTGTTACAAATTGCGTTAACTTGAAGAGCAAAAAAGTTACGCGCAAATTTATGCCCCATATGTGGCATATGTGGCGCCCTCTATAAGCTACATCAAAGTATGCACCAAATTATAGTTCCTCATACTCAAGGGGTCCCAGTTGTAAATTTTTATACATAAAATGTCCACTTTCTTAATATTAATATTTTATTAAAGCGAGTTGGCTTAAATCTTAATATTTTAAAATGTAAAATCTTCTGTTTATTCTTGTACAATTACTTAAAGACCGCCCTATATATAATATTATAAACTGCCGTTAAACAATAAGAAAACTACATTTATAAGGTTATCAAAAATCCAATATAATGATGAACCTAACAATTGGGAGGTTAAATATATTATAAATTATTATACAGGGTGTTTCAAAAAAAGGTAACCCCGTCTCTAGGGTAGGTAAAAAACTAAAAAATAATTGGGGTTTTTTTAGTAAAAAATTTTTGTAACGCCATCCGTTTTCAAGATACAGGGCGTTGAAGAAAAAAAAATTTTACGCATTTTTTACGATTTTACCGAAACTACTGGCAACATTGTAATGAAATTTTATACGAATATGGTTTGGAAGCTAATACATCCCATGAATTTGTTTTTATATCTGATTCTCATAGAGGGCGCTAGTTACACAAATCGTACTAAGTATTAGTCAATATAACTTTTTTAAGAGTATAATTATTAATCAAAATTTCAAGTAAACTTAAACATCATTCAATTTTACACGAAAAAGGTACTCTTGGTAAAACTCGATACTGAGTACAGTTTTCGGAATATTTTGATTTGAAAATTATGTAGTAATAATTGATGCTGGTATAAAATACTTAGTTATTAAACAAAACTCACAAAAAGAAAATTAAATTAATGACTAACATAAAATAAAATTGAATTCCAGTAAGTGTTCAACATGCCCTCCGATTTCGCGAACACACAAGTCTATTCTTTCTTCTAAAGATTCCATTAACCTTCTAAAAGGTAGGGGATCAGCTGTAATGTCATTAAATTGACGTTGAATTCTTTCTTCCAATTCCTGACGTGAATTTACCTCTGTAGCATAGACTTTTTCCTTAATATACGACCAAACTGCGTAGTCCAAAGGGTTAAAATCGCATGACCGAGGAGGCCAATGAATCGGAGCTTCTGCACATCTACCAATCCATCGATTCGGAAAATGATTACTCAACCAATTACGATACCTTCCTTCAAAGTGTGGTGGAGCTCCATTGTGCATAAAAAATAAAGATTTTCGCTCGTTTAGCTTTAAATCTTCTAATATCTCGAATAAGAAATTGTTTAAAAAATCAAGATACATATCGCCATTTAAATTTCCTGGTAGAATATGATTACCTATTAATTTGTGACATAAAGTTGCTGCTCAAACAATAACTTTAAATGAGTGTTAGTAAACTTTGACTCGTGGATTCTCATCACACCAGTAATGTGAATTATGGGAATTAAACATACCTTGTCGCGTAAAGGTGGCCTCGTCGGTAAAAAGAATGCGTTTTAAAAAAAATTGGATTTTGGGCTATCCTTTGTTCAATGTTTCACAAAAACCCACTCTAACCGGTAGATCATCTGGCAAGAGCTCTTGGACTTGTCTGTAATGATAAGGATGTAATTGCTGTTCTTTCAGTATCCGCCAAGTACTTGAAGGAGAAGTATTTGTTTGTCTTGCTATATTCCTTACGCTAACTGTTGGATGTTGATCAAGTAAATTTAAAATATTATTTTCTTTAATAATTGTTCTTGCTGTTCTTGGTCTACCAGAATTTATTTTATTTGGTCTCACATTCCCAGTTTCTCGACAACGTCGTTCAACGGCTCTAAATGTTTTTTTACTTGGTAAGTTTCTTCTAGGAAACTTTTCTGCATAACGTGTCACAGCTGCACTAGAACATCCTAAACTTTCGCCTAAGGTTAATAACATGTCAGTGTATTCAACAGTTGAGTACATTTTGATTTGATTTTACAAATAACAAGGTTTAAAAACTCTAATTATTGTTGATTTATCGTCATAACAATCAATAAATGTCAAGATTTCCATGCCACACTTGGAGAAAATAGAGGTATACCTATTAGAACTTTATCATTACTACCAGCATCAATTATTACTTCAGAATTTTCAAATCAAAATATTCCGAAAACGGTACACAGTACCGAGTTTTACCAAGAGTACCTTTTTCGTGTAAAATTGAATGATGTTTAAGTTTACTTGAAATTTTGATTAATAATTATACTCTTACAAAAGTTATATTGACTAATATTAGTACGATCCGTGTAACTAGCGCCCTCTATGAGAATCAGATATAAAAACAAATTTATGGAATGTATCAGCTTCCAAAACATATTCGTATAAAATTTCATTACAATGTTGCCAGTAGTTTCGGCAAAATCGTAAAAAATGCGTAAAATTTTTTTTTCTTCAACGCCCTGTATCTTGAAAACGGATGGCGTTACAAACATTTTTTACTAAGCAGATCCCAATTATTTTTTAGTTTTTTACCTACCCTAGAGACGGGGTTACCTTTTTTGAAACACCCTGTAGAGGGGTTAATTATTAGACCAGGTAGATTATACATATTTGTTTATATGACTTTGTACAAATAAATAAAAAAAATCATGTACAAAATAAAAGATTTCCAGATAAGAGTCTAAATCATTTCGTATTTAGTAAATGTAAAGTTGTATTTAGTTTTTGTTCTTCAAAAAATAAAAAACAAAATATTTAATATTTCTTAATACATTTTCAAAAACTTTGATAACCAATAGTTTTATGCATTTTATAATAACATGTATAAATGCCGGTTATAATATTAATTTATTTTTTTGCATAATTAATAAATATTATTTTAGTGTTTTGAACCTATAAAAAGGAAAAATCCCACATTTAAACAAAAAATTCAAGTATTGATTGGAGACGCACAATTCCCAAATTTTGGTTTATGTGACGAAGATATAGAAACTCTAAAAGCGGAATGTCAAGTAGTCTTTCACTATGCTGCTACTGTCAGATTTGATGAAAAAATTAGAACAGCTACATATATTAACATAAGAGCTGTAAGGGACCTTATAAAAATAACCAAAGAAATGAAACATTTAAAGGTAAGGTAAATATAAAAGCATTAAAATTGTTTTACGTTTTTATTGATATTTAATAAAATTAAATTAAATTATCTGAGTGCACACTTTATGTATCTATGGTTATATGAAGAATTTGTAAATTTGGCCACATTGTTTATACATAATTTAATTGATTTTTTAACCAATAATGCATTTGAATGTCCAAATAAGTTAGCAAAACTAAAACCTCGTATTTGCATGAATAAAGAAGCTTGTAATTTTCAAGAAATATTTACAAGTTTCGTACATGAGTTTCTATTTAACTCAAGTTTTATGCAGCGGCGTCCGGTAGGTTACATTTAAAGATATTGTATTTTGGATGCAAATAATTTTATGAAAAATTTGCATATTGAAAATATAAAACTCACTTCTTACTTTCTTTCGGTATATTCGAAGTAACAAAGTTGGTTCAATTTGAAACTTAAAAATTGCTTGTTTGCAATTCCGAGGCTTAATCGTTCATTGAAAAATAATAACCAAACAAATGTTTTATCCCGCTTTATTTCTTGACTTGAATGAATAGAAAACAAATACTGAAGCCAGACTTTTGGTAAATAGAATATTTATAAATAATTTGATTCAGCTGAATTGAAATGACTAGCAGAAATTTCGGTATGAGTCTTTATAGCCATAAAACGAAAAAGATAATAATAATCAGCAAAAACTCTAATGCACACTACTACTTAAAGAAGTCCAAATCTTTACATATCTAGTGTGATACTTAAATAAAGATTGGGATCATTCTAGAAAAATTCGTTTTAGAATTAAGAAAGCCAGAAACATGTTTTATAGAGCCAAAACTGTTCTTTGCAATATCTTTTTTTCTCTTTCTGAGGGTGGAAATTTCTAAAAACCGTACCAGGTTAACTTATCTCTAGCGATAGCTGGCGTGTGTTGGATTCAGGGAAAAGAAGTATATCAAGCCCATTTTCCCTTAGAAGAAGAAGGTCCTGCAAACAGATGCCTTCCTGTTATCCTGCCTACCAACTAAAACCACCCTCTCCTATTTGTGCGCAGTTTACTGCAGCACGTGCCGTACTCCGAAAGTGGGATGTCGTTGGTTCGATTGGTGTTTCTCTTCTTCCTCTTTCTTTTTAATTACTATTCGAATGTAATTATGTCCAATATTTCATCTCTCCTTACTTCCAGTAATCTTCACGGTCCTCCTTCTTACAGTTACATGGTTCATACCTATTTCTCTACACTTTCTGTTTCTCTCCACTGTCCATCTATCCATCCAGTATTGTATGAGTAACAGTGTCAGAATATTCACATTATAAGCATTTTTCTGTATCTGTCTTTCTAAATCTATGAAGATATATCCTAAAACACCCATGTCCTGTGAGCACTTGCATCAGAAAATAATCTAGTCGCCTGTGACCACAGTCCACCCAGTTCCTTAGGCTCAGGATCAACATATTGGTCCATTGAGCAACATCTTCCATGTTGTTCCATTTTTCCTTAGTCTTTCTATTGATCTTTCTCTTTCTTTTTTATAGCTGCTGTCAAATATTCTCTTCTCTCATAGAGATGTCTCCTTTCAACTGTAAGTGTAAGTCCCTACTCCTTTCTGATTTGAGTCCTCTAATGTTACGCATCACTCTCTCCATCACAGACGCACTCTTCGCTGCCTTCTGGGCTACTACTCGTATATACTTTCCCGTCCGCCATATTGGTGTAGTGTCAATACCAGATATTTGACGCTGTTCTAGTTTTTCACGACTTACCCGTATGTCTTACTTGAAATCATCGGAAATCTGGCTTGTGCCGCGCTACTATTAATCGGCCATCGCATTCATCCGATAGTTAGGACACTCCCTCTCTTCCAATGCCAGCATCACCTCTTTCCACTTCAGAGTGTTGAATACATTTCTAACATAGAAGAGCAACAGAGCCGCCCAGCGCTGTTCGTCCCCAATGTTGTGCAATGCCTCGATTATACTCTACTTACGTCAACTGTGCTCTTCCCTTTGCAGAATCCTAACTGTCTCGGGGATAGATCTCCTGATCTCTCAATCGTTTCGTAGATCCGTCCTCGCAGCATCTTCTCGTATAATTTTCCGATGCATGGAAAGAGGCATATGGGGCGATATTTCTAACCAGTTTTAGAAAGCAGTACTCCCAGTACAATCTCAAGAAATGCATTTATATGCTCCAAAAGTCACCCAAGTTCCACACGTCTTGACTCCAGACGGTTGAACCTAGGACACCTCCTCGATTTTGCTACGTGGGCAGGTACATTACAATTTAGACCTATTGTTTCTTTCTTGCATTCAGCAGCCAAATTACCTTCGTTACCACATCGTAAGTAGCGCCCTCTTCTGTGTTGTCCCCTGCAGTTCCATTGTCTGTGTCCGAAGGCAAGGCATCTCCTGCATCTGGGTATCTCTGCCATTGCTTTCACCACCCGACAAGATGTAAAGTCCAATCGTATCCTTTTCATATTAAGAACTTTTCAACAGCGTCTTCGTCGACATCTATTATAGCGCTCTCCATACCTTTTACGTCGCCTCATCCTTTTGTCCAGTTCTTTGCAATCTGGGCCTTAGTGTAATGGTTAGACTCAGAATACTTAACTGTCATGTATTACCAACCCTTTTATATGGATTAAAGACATTGGACCTTAAAAAAACACGCATCGAATTACCAAGTCTTATAGTTTGGGCCCTTATAATACAAGGAAAAGTGGAAGGAAAGAGATGGATTGGTCGAAAGAAACTTTCATGGCTGCGTAATATTAGACAATGGTGTGGTTTTACAGTAGAAGAATTATTTCGCGCAGCAGCCGACAGAGAAAGGTTTCAGGAAATTGTAAGCATGATGACGGCCAACGTCTGAATACGGACACGGCACCCAAAGAAGAAGATAGTTTGGGCATGTGATGAGAAACAAAAAATACCACATTCTACAACCTATCATGCAGGGCTAGTTAAAAGGAAGCAGAGGGTAGGTGTAACGTTAAATTTTTACTCCGTTATGTAATTATTATGAAAATACAAAGAAATATTGCAATCACAGGACACGCTGTGTCAAGTGCACTGGAGACCACGCCACATACAAATGTCGAAGAAAAGAAAGATCAAATAATCTGATCGAAATGCATACTATGCAAAGGCAATCATTTAACCAACTACAACTACAAATGTTAAACCTTTTGAATACAGTGATCGCTACATTGTCTAAATTTTTAAGTTTCTCAAAGTGGCATTCTGGAACGCCAACGGGCTAGTCCAACATGCCCAAAAGGTCAAAGCCTTTATAATCAACAATAACATTGACATAATGCTAATACCTTACTAGTTGCAGTTATTTCAAATATTCTAATTATGTTATAAGAGCACAAATCATCCAGACGGTACGGTACACGGCGGATCTGCAGTCATAATCAAAACTACTAAAGACTGTTTGCAAACCACCAGCATATCCATTGAAGATTAAGAGGAGCCATTAAGAATAACAGCCATCTGCTGCCCACCACGACAAAATATAAAAAAATAACAATTCACACAGTTCTTCAGTTCTTTTGGAAACATATTCTTGGCAGGCGGAGATTGCAACGCTAAACATACACATTGGGGATCTTTTATTGTGAAGCGGACTCATTTTTTTAAAAGAAAGGCAACTTTATATGTGTATGCAAGACAACAATCTAAAAAATCATATCCACGGGTAAACCTACCTACTGGCTCACCGACAGAAATAAAATACCAGATCTGGTAGGTTTAGGTGTCAGTATGTGTTTAGCAAACAAACACTTGAGGGCTTCTTTTTTTATGTCTTCTAATTATTTTCCTGTTTTAACAGAAATAAGTTTAGAAATCCTTTACAGAACACCATCTGCTACATTACGTAACAAATCCACAAACTGGAAACAATTCAGAGAATTACTAACCAATAAATTATAATTAAATATCTCACTAAAAATAAACGTGGACATTGACAATATCACAGAATACCTTAAACAATCCATACAAGAAGCTACATGGGAATCAAAGACAATCAAGGAAATAAACCGACCTACTCATGAACTACCCAATAAAATCAAACAACAAATTATTAAGAAACGAATAGTAAGACGTAGATGGCAGCTGACCACAAGAAAACCATAAGATAAAAACAATCAAAATAAAGCTACAGTACAGTTTCGTTCTTATCTCAGGCATCTTGCGCCCACATAAGCTACCGAGTATTCATTCTGGAAAACAACTATCAAAATAGAACGTCCCCAATACTCCAATCCGCACTGAAGATGGCGCAGTGGCAAAAAGCAATAAAGAGAAAGCCGACGATATTTTTGCTGAATATCCTAAAACGGTTTTCCGGTTTTTCCTGGATGAACGTATTAATATAAATAAAAGAATCCAAATTTTTCTAGAATCTTTCGATCAACTTAAAACTCCTCTAAAAAAATTTACATTGAACGAAGTCAATAATATTATTTACACTAAATTAAACCCTAAAATGTCCCCAGGATATGACCTAATTAACATAAAAATCTTATAGGAATTACTAAGAAAAGCCCTTCTTTATCTTACATAACTGTATAACGCTGTATTAGAAACAGGACATTTTGCTCTAGTTTTCTCTAGTTATTTTAAATAATATTAATTCCAAAACCAGGATAATCCTTGGAGGAAATAAAGTTCTACAGACCTATTAGACTGATTCCTTTTATGTCTAAAATATTGGAAACAATGCCAATTTTAATTGATAAACAAATATTACATAATCATTATCTGATCATTTATCAAATCTTTTTAGACATATCCCAGGCATTTAAAAAAGTTTGGTATAATGGCCTTTTATACAAAATCAAAAAATCCCTTTCCAATAGTTACTTTTAAATCCTAAGGTCCTACGTACAAGACCGCCATTACCTTGTAAAAAATCACGATGAGTATATTAAACTCTACCGAATTATGGCAGTATTTTCGGACCATTGCTGTACCTAATATTTACTGCGGACTGACCTATATCACCAG